AATCGATACTTCTTCGGGAATTTCAAAGCTTGAAGTTCCGTGTTGCAGCTGAAACTCAATCAATGAAAATAAGGCTCGCTACATAGACGATATCATAGTTATCTGCGACAAGTAGATGGATGCCACAAAAATTCTTAGTCAGATGAATAAAATACATATTATGCCGAAGAAGGTAATGACTACTTGCCATTTCTGCATGTACTTAGAACTCGCTAACATGGATCAATAAGACGATCTGTTTAGAAGAACACAACTCGTATGGAACAGTATCTAAATTATCATAATTTTTGCCCATCCCAGTATAAAATTGAGTAATTTTAAATGTTCGTTCAGACGTATTCAGGGCATATGGTTGGAGGATACGATTGAAGAAGAATAGCAAAACCTTGCCAAAATATTAATATATAATAACTATCCTTTAAAATTCACTAAGCGTCATAGAAAGCATCAAATCAAAAAAGACTTGACCAAAGAATGTTCATACAGACTGTTTTTGTTGTCCAACGGCGCTTCTCAAACAAACACTTAGCACGGAACTCTACAGAATTTACAATACAGCCAAATGCATTTTTATATGTGTTCATATGTTGTGCTGTAAACCCTCACTGCATCTTGAAGATAGTGTCATATCCCCCTTCGTTGAGACATACATAGAAAGGACCCGTCGAGATCTTCGAGGTAGGACTACAGAACATATTCCTAAGTGGCTGCAAGAATAAATGAAATCATCCAACACGAATGATTCTGGATATAGGTGACCAGTATTATCTTATCGCAAAGTACCTCAGAGAGATATGGGTGATAAAGTTAAGTGTAACATTGCTTTTATATATATATATATATACATATACATAAATACATATATATATATATATATATATATATATATATATATATATAACAGGTTAGGGTCTTAAACTTAAATTCGTTAGATTTGTAGCCGTAAAATGGCTTAAAGCGCTTCCGTTTGTTCGAAATTTATTTAGCATTACTGTGAAGGTACCCTACTTTAATCCAACTAGAAAACCGAAGCTTATTTTGTCTAGTAATATCTCCTCCCCTTATTTTTCTTACCTCCTACCAATGATTTGACCTCTAAATAAACATTTTGACCGATATCGATTCGATTTTAACCTTTTACACTCTGTTTGTTAACTCTCTTATTTATGAAATGTGCGTGACCAGAATGTCCTAAGTAAGTGTGGCACGAATACGGTATTACAAGTTTCAGATAAATTACGTCTTCTTGTTGTTCAGTTTTCTGTCGAAGTTCATACTGGGAAATAATAATTACCTTCCAACATTCAATAACTAACTTTGTCTTTATGTGTGTGTTTGTGTGTGTGCGTAAATGCCTTTGAAAGTAGGCTAATCTAATTACTGAACAGTATAATAAATTATCTATTAATTGAATTGAATTATGTTAATAAATTTTTGAAAAATTATATTTTATGAATTCAAAAGTTAAATGGAAGTTATCTTTTAAATGGATCCTAATTGAAAAAAAAACTTAAATTAGTGTATTGTATTTCTTTTTCCGTTGTTTAGAATTACATTTCTGTAAAGTTCAACTATAAGCGACAATATAAAACAAGGCGCCTAAGAGAATAATTGAAAGTTTAATCAAACTATTTGCAGTTTGTTACTGATTATCATCATTACTAATTACTTTATTCCTTTACGTTCCTAGTGGAACATAAGGCTTCAAACTTGAGCTTCGAAGTTTCGGTGGCAGTCGTGTTTATTTTTAATGGGGGGGGGGGGGTTGCTAGCCTCACACTTAACCTTCCCTGCGTTATCAGTTTAGGAGTGCGTCGGCCGGGGATCGAACCCAAAACCACGGGAGGCGTGGTTAGCGAGTATTCCACGGCTATGTCACCAATATCTTTAATTATAAGTTGGCTGTGTTTCTTACATTCTTCTGTTTAATGATGGGGTAGATATGATGACTGACTCATTGGCTTATGCACTGAATTTTCAAACAATCAAATGGAGTCATGAGGTTAGAATCCTGTTGGATCTGTTTGCTTCTGAGCAGCTTGGTGTGGCATTACCAACCCTCATACAGGAAGTGTGACTCATAGCCTTCCCCGCACACTTGAAAAGTTTGTTCTAGGTAACTCACTTTTTAAGTAACTGTGTAAAAGTGAAGCAGTAGCGAGATACGGCTACTGACTCAGCGAAATGGTTTAAAATCCTTGACGGTTGTGAAGATAATACATCAACTGCTTATCTTTTGATAATCTTGATATTTTCATTGACATGGAGGAGATCGTGTGAAGAAGAGTTGAAACAGTATGGACTAACATGGATGCAAGTGAAAAGTACAGCAGAAGACAGAAGCAAGTGGAGGCGTGCAGTTGAAGCCCTATGTTCCACTAGGAACCCAAGGGAACAATAGTAATAATAATCCTCCCTCAGTGCCTCTCTGTCTATATATATATATATATATATATATATATATGCAAATCTTTGTCTGCTATAGTATTACTACATTCTTGTTATCTTCTTTTGTTCTACTTTTTCTATTCTGTCAGTGTTAAGTGATTTATGTTCATGTAGAGTTCTGCATTGACTAACAATGGTTAAATCAAGTTGATTACGAAATAATAAACTTTCTTTGGTGTCATATTCGGCTTTTTGATGGGTAGAAAATGAGTTCCACTTCTCGTTTGATGGTTTCTCCCTTTTATTGTTAGTATTATATTTCCAGTTAAAGCTTTAGGCCCGATTCACAATCATTTCTGCCCGATGTGGGTGGTTTTCAATTACACAATAATCAACAGTATGGGACCAACATGTTATTCCACGTTGCTGTCTTGTCTGCTATTTATTATAGTATTGAGTAGACCTCAGATTGTAATCATAGTATTTTCGGTTTCTAAGGGGAACTTGTGGTGATTTCTCTCACCTCTAACTGTTTAACTGGATAATAACAAATTCAGTTGAGATAGATGGTACTTTTCCTGTTAAAAGATTGCTTATTCGCCAGGGTAACTTGTAAATCAATGAGTTTGTTTTTCATGTTTCTTGTTGAAGAAAACACAACCATTTCACTGTGGTCCATCCGTACTTTTTTGTTTTTCTAGATACCTGGCAATTTTCCCCTGCACTACTTCATCTCATGATTTCATAACTCAGGTTCTCATGTACCGAGGTACACTGTGTGTTGCCTGTACAGAGTAGTTAGGGCGGGATTTGAACCCGGGACTGAAAGTAGAGCGCTCATACCGCTGAGTGACATCTGTTTTAACTATAGAACTTCTCATAAATGCTTTATATGTGCTTAGCCGGAGTTTTTCAAGATGAAATTAAATTCTTAAAGAATACTTGGCAAAGTGATCAGCGTCATCCCACTCTTAAAGTGAAAGCAATTGAATGAAGCACAGTTTTGGCATACATCTCCTGTAAATATCATTAGTTGTTCTGCTATTCTCTCTCCCTCTAACTACTAATTTGAATAACATGCTTACTTGTAATATCTTTTTTACATCTTGTTACTTCCTTCTTACCCTCTATCCTCTTCCCTAATTCAGTGTGTCTGCATCTGGTCGCTATAAATATAACACTAAGAGGAAATATTCTCTATCACATTATGGTGTAGTATCATCATGTGTCTTTTCTTTTCTTTTTTTCTTTTTAAATAAGCTGAAATTAAGCAATTCCATGAATTTAAAAAAAAACATATGTATATTTAATTCATGTAACAGTAGAAATGAAGTTGTCTAAGTAACTGGGTCCTTTTGTCATGTTTGTGCATAAATTTGTCGGATATTATGCTTTGTTTCTTCTTCAGCCTTAAACGTATTCTTTTTTACATAGTAATAATAGCAATAATACCACTTTGAAATTCAACTGTGCTTTTGAGTTGACCTGGTTGTCCTATCTTAAGTCGTAAGGAGGTTTTAAATGGTTAGACGTAATCGTCAGGATGCCCTGGAGCTAGGCTTCTTGCCTGTTGGCACCCACTAGTCAGCAAGACGTATCTGCGATCTTGAGATAACTCATGTCCCTTCTGAGATTTGAACCCGTGTCACCTGGTGAGTGCTGCAGTCAGAGACGTTACCACTGAGCTGTCCGGGCTTGCTATTGACCTCCTGTAGAACTCTTCTAATGGATACTTTGATTGGACACCAGCTAGAAACTAATGTCATGCGTCTAGTCCTTTGTTTAGCGCAGAATGGGTTCGAATATCAGAAGGCATATGAGTGTTCCTTCAAGGTTGCTTTGATGATGAGTGCCAATAAGCACGAAATCGAAGTCGAAGGCATCCTGCAGATGACTACCTCCAGTCATCTAATAACAACAACAACAATTCAAAGTGTTGGTGGTGAGCTGCTTAGCATAGTGACCACATTGCAAATTAGACATTGAATTCAGTCTGCACCAATTGAAGGGCTTGATTCATAACATTAATTACTACTGCGTGTCCAGTCAAGAAAATAATGATTTGTTGTAGTGTCATACGCGCTTTTCTATCAGCTGTTTCCGTTCTCTTATTTGACGTGCTTCTTCTAAAGGTGTTTTGCTTTGAACTGGTCGTTTTATACATTGACCAGTTGGTCAATTAATTCATAAATGTATTCATCTATGTTTACACTCACAACCCACTTTTAGTAAGCGTGTGAGAAATCTCCTAAGAAAGGCATAAAGGAATTCTGTGGCTAGAAATATTAGACCGTTCTCCAAAAGATGCCAGGATGTAATCCAACTTCAAATGAGTCAAACCCCCCTTACAAACCAACGACTAAAAACACATAAAAACTGTGTCTTTCTCCCTAAGCACTGAATCTGTTATATGAATTAATTAACGTCTACGATAAGTGAAAAGTAACTCAGTAGTATCTGACACCCTATGGTTATAGGGTTACCTCTCCTTAGTTATCATACCCTGTCGTTGTATTCAGTCTTGTTTCTTCTTTAAAACAAAGTTTTCCCATATTCATATTTTTGACCAAGAGCTTTTTGTTTTTCTTTTTTTACCCTGCTATTTCTTACAGATGACCTGTCTGATACTCAATCATTTTATGATTTGGATGTTTCTGAAGAGAAATTCAAAGGCAATTCAAAGTCTAGCAACAAAGCAAGTACTTTACAGATTGTAAGTTTTCTTTCCTTTTGTATAATAATTGTACAGCTGTTATCGCTGAAAATTATCATTTCTCATGATTTAATTATCTGAGTTTTGTTCGACTACGCCACATTACTTGTATTGTCTTTGAATAAGATAAGAGTAATTACATTAGCCTTGTTGACCGATTGCTGACGAAATCTCAGTAGGGATACAAAAAGCTCGTGTGGAATTCGCTGAATTACATCATCTCTGGAGTAGACGTGATGTCCGGATATTGATCATAGGGTGTGTGCAATGCTCTGTAGTTCGTTTTGTCCTTTCTCGCTGTGACACATAGCCATTGAAATTGGAATACCTGAAGAGGTTAACCGTTTCTGATCACAGGTGTTCACATTCTATCTCCAGTGTTAGGTGGTATAATAGGGTGAGTAATATTGAGGTTATGCATCGAGTTGCTAGGTAAGGTGGGCAAGTCAGTCGATGGGGTTGTGATGGTGAATTGTTTGAGATGGCTAGGATATATGTTGCTCATGTTTGCCCATTGCCTTCCTCGATGGGAAATTTAGATGACAGAATTAGGTCGAAAGATAGTTGGTGGAGGTCAGACCAAAACGTGGAATCAACCTATGAAGTCTTTGAAAGTTAGTTTGAGCCAGCCACTTAGGCAGGTGTAGACTGCCTGATTGCCTTCCTCGAGATGCTTAAATCTAATCGCTGGTTAAAACTGGTAGGGTATGTCTCAAAATCGTGAGTTCGAACCCAGGACCTTCCGGTTACAAGGCAAGCTAGTAGACCACTAAGCCAGTGAGACACGATCCAATGGCTCATGAATACTGGCTTCTGCCAGTTCATGATACAGCGTGACTAGAAGCAATAGTTGCGAATAGTCGAAGAGTTTCAAACTAGAACTAAATGTAAACGACATGTAGCTTCGCTGTTCAAATACATTAAAATAAATGTGTCTAAATACGAATTCACTTTTCAGCTTATGTCTTGTGAATCAGTTAGTAATATGCCGTTTACTTCCAGTCACCATTTAGTTGTTTCGCGCTCTCACATGTGAATGACATTACACTGAATTGCTTTTTCTACCTTTTCTGTCTTTCTTTTCTCCTTCAATTTCGTTCCCAGCGGAACATAGGGCTTCAAGATAAAGCTTTAAAGTTTCCGTAGCGGTGGTGTTTGTTTTTTTGGGATGCTGTTGTTAGCCTCATGACCAATCTTCCCTCTGTACCGGCCTTGTTCCCGACTTGACGAGATAAAGGAGTGCATCGACCGGGAACGAACCCCGGACCACATGGATGGTTGGCGAGCATTCTCCCACTGAGCCACCGACGCACATTTTCTGTCTTCGTAAAGTCTATTGATCTTGATTTGGGTTGGGCTTTTGTGCTCTAACAAACTAACTGACTCTGGCGTACTACTTCTAGCTTGACCTGCATATTCAACTTCATATTTACTACATGACATTAAATACACTGAATCATGTTGTCTAAGTAACGACCTCGCTAGTAAAATAACATTTGTGAGTATTTGTGTAGGAGATTGTGAGAATAAAAACAAAGTGAATCAATAAGAATTATATGAATACTAAATTTATGCATTAAGATGACATCACTAAGACAAGTGAGTTTAAGATATCACTAGTGCTATCGTGCAAAGATGGAACCTCTGAAACTTTAATGCAAGGACAGGACTTGGGTAGTTATTAACATTGTACCTGTGAAACCTTGCTCAGTATTGCTTGCAACACATGAGTGGGAAACAACTAGTATCTAATTAAAGGATGCTGTGGAGCCTGTCCAATGTAGCAAGTTAGTGGGAGATGGATGACAAAGGCCTTGTTTATCGGATCAACTGAGAGCATATGAAGTAAGAATGACGCCAACCTTGTTCTGGACATTTAGAAAATCCGACTACCCATAGGATAAGTGAAAGTAAAAACTAGAGCTTTAAAAATCGAGTCACAAAGTTTTTCACTTCAACTTGATATAGTTATAAACAATAAATTCTGTTCGGAACGTCATCTTGTAAATGACGCTGTTTCACCGTGTGATCTATATTATAATAAACAAACTAATATTAAGGTACATGCTACTACAGTGTCCAAGTTTTACACATGTGTATTAATGACGTCTCACTTCACTTCTTAATGCTGCTTTACACATTATGATATCACAAGGTATATAAGACTGATTTCGGTCATTTTGATATATCGTTGAGGAAACTGTTCAAAACTGTAGAGCATTCTACACAGCAGTAGGACACTTCACATAAAATGGATTGCTGATTATCTAAGCAAGAATAAGTATTTGACTGCTATTCAAATTCTACTCACCTGATAGTCTCCTATTTGTTTGAATGACTTAGTACCGTAAGCCGAATACGGAAATAAGGTAAGATATGAGCTGAATTCACCAGTCTTTCCTTCCACAGAGTAAAATTAGCCGCGCAGAATCAGATTTTTCATTTACGAATCGCACACTTCGAGGTGGAAAAATCATCACACTATCCCTTAAAATTCAATAATATTCACATCACAAAATGTGATCTGCTCGATAATGGTAGTAAAAAATAAACAAGAGGAAGAGCGTGGTACTGTTTAAACCTGATTGATTGATGTGAGTAGCGCTTGCTAACCAGATTGAAGTTATGATGTAAACACCAGACTGACATTTCGTTCGTTCGGGACCAAGTTTATCCCCAAGCTGGGTGAGTCAAACGAGGTATATCGTCCACATGAATGGTCTAAAACTACTCGTACCAATCAGTAGTATGTAGCATTGTCATCACAGATTTGATAGAAAACATTTTCACAACACAAACACATTCTGTCCTTATAATCTGTACACTTATCAAATCTAATAATCTTCGCATGTCTGCTGTTGTTATCACTTCTTTTATTTTGACTGACAGAATCACTTTCACAAGCAGAAGTATTTTGATCCAGTTGCCTGCCATATAAAATAGTAATATGTAGCAAAACGTCATTTAAAACAGATTTTTGTCTTGTTTTTTATTTCTTGTAAAAGAATTCATGTTTTAGGTAAAAGTAACAATAATAGACGTAAATGCACATGTCTAAGATAAGCGAAACATTTTCAGTGAGTCAGAAAGAGAATCTACTCTCTCTAAAAGTCATTCAGTGAAATGAAGATAACAGAATATCACTTTTGTAAATGTTGTTGAGGTAGCAGATAATAATACCCGATTGAGGTCATCGATGCAAAGACTTACAGGCGAACAAACCAACAAACTGGCTGAAAAGGCTGGTAGTGAAAACAAGACTGCAGATGAAGATAGAGAAGACAGAGGTGATGAAGATTACCAACCAACAGCAACAACAACAACCAGCATCAATCACCATCAATGGGAGAGATTTAACAGAAGTTACTTCCTTCACTTATCTAAGAAGCATCGTTTCAACCACAGGCAGCCGAAACAGATAAAGATATCAAAGCCAGCCAGAATCGGTAAGGCAAGATACGGGTTCATCAACCTGAAACCAGTTTGGAAATCTACAATCAGCATAAGGAACAAGATTTGCATTTTCAATACCAATGTCAAGTCGATCCTTCTATGCGGGTCATAAACTTGTACTTCGTGTCACGAAAAGGATTTCCAACAGGTTTCAGATTTAAATCAACAGATGTCTTCACTGGCTCCATACTGAAGATTGAATGATCATCCAGAAAGGATTAGTAATAAAAAACACTGGGAACAAACCAGCCAAGAGCCGGACGCTCAAGAAAGAGGTCCTCAGTAGCACCTCTGCACTACTTGCGATTCTCTACCATTACTTCCGGCTGACTGCATAACTGTCAACAAGCATTCGTTCCATCCCACCCATGCGTCAGTGGCACACGCGGCTAGGACGCTCGTCGACCATACGCATAGTTCGATCCTCGGCCGACGCACAGCTCATATCAATGATCGGCCTGCTAGCTTTGGGCTGCCGATATTACATGCTGAAAATTCCATAATTGTACCAAAATACTGTGTGCAATCAAGCTGTAATCAAAAATAAAAATTTTTAAAAATGAATGCGATCTCCAGGTCCTCGGGAAATCTAAAACACCACTGACAAATGTCATTTGTCAATTTCTATCCTACTGTTAAGTTTCCGTTCTCTTTCAAAACACAAATAGGTTTTGTTTGTTTTGTTATCACTGTTATAACAGCTTGATAGGCGAGAGACAACTATTCACTTCACAAAATGACTCCGTGTTAAGTGTATGACAGGTAGTCAGTTGAAAAGAGTTCACTTAACTCCTTTTCACGAACAACAACAACAATAATAATAATACAATTATCTTCATCATTCTTCTTTACAATTCACAGACGCAAAAAATGTGCATAAAATCAGCGCTCTACTGGTGGTTCCACTTTGATTATCATGTGTGTGCGTGTTTGTTGTGCTGTGCAAATCACATATTCATCTCTTGATCTGATTTGTGTATATTATAGACTACTACTGTAAATTAAACTTTTTTCATTTTATAAGATAAAATCATGTTCTGGTGTGTTGTTGTACCTTGATATACATTTATATCACAGTAAATGTTTGCTAATCTTTTCAGTTTTGTTTTTCCAAATAGAGCTTCAGATTAACTGACTGACTCAGAAAAAGTATAGACCATTATTCACCCCCTAGCCTTTTTTTGTCTCAAGTCTTTGTCCGTTTAAATTGATGATTAATTAATATACAATCTGACTGAATGAGTAATCTAACTCATATATATATATATATATATATATATATATATACAACATACACTTCTTGATTTTCTACACCTACTACTACTACTACTTCATATAGAGCGTAAAGCCAGCCAGCTAACTGGGCGTAGTCCTGCAAACAAAGTGAATAAGAATTAACCAATCATTGTTCAGCACACCTTAGACACACATGTAAACTACACCACGAAATCACAGCGTTGAAATGCTTTCAGTGTATTTTGCCTTTGAATTAATACTATTGTTAATACCATTAAATTAACAGTTGTGGTAGTAGTATTCCAACTGAGTGTCTTGTATACCAATAAGAGACCAATGAAGACCTTACATGTATATAACCGTATGGTGGGATTGCCTTGAATACGAATATCCATCTGTTTTACATGAATAAGTTATGCATTACTACAGATCCTCATCTAGTTCTAGTAGCTTAGCTGCTGTATCGATGGGCTAGTTAGTAGTAGTCAGGTTGGTGGCATTAGTTAGAATGCTACTTACTGTGTAGCCCGGAATATCACACTTCATCTTCAGTCCTTGCCATCAGGTAATATTAACAACTTGTAATCTCTGATTTCATTTTGCTATTCATGTGTGCATCGGTGGTTCAGCGGCAGGACGCTCGCCAACCACGAACGTGATCTGGGGTTTGATCTTCGTCCGGTAAACTCCTAAACCTCAATAAGCCGGTAGTAAGGCCGGTGAAGAGGGAAGGTTGGGCGTGAGGCTAGCAAACCCACCCCATAAGGAACGCCAGTGCTGCTGAAACTTCAAAGCTCTAGCTTCAGGCCGTATGTTCCACTCGGAATGTAAAGGAATAAAATAACAATAGTAAATAATTTTGTTATTCACATTCCCCTCTTGTTTATTTATTTTAATATTATTCTCTCTCATTTTTTGTATTTCTTCTGTCTCCTTTCTGCCAAGATAAGGAAGAAAAAAATATGAATTTGGTTTGGAATTTTGTAAAAATCAGTCTAGTAGTCTGCACTTACCTGTCTGCCTGACTGACTGACTGGTTGCTGGTGTTCTGACTTAGTGGCGTAGCTCGTGCATTCATTCTGATACGTCATTAAGCCAGTGTCAGTTCAAAGAAAGTATTCCCACCCTCACCTCTTCTACATCTTATTTTTTTCGTTCACTTTGGCATATATATTTTGTTTTATAACATTCTACAATTTTTGATTGTAGAAATCTGTCTTTTTTTCTGTGTCTTTCCTGGTGTCGTCATCCATTTTTTATGCTTAGTTGGGTACAGACTTTGACAAAGATCTACTGTTAATAACACTTGCCTGTCTGTTTTCATTTCCTTACTGGAGGATATTTCAGTTGTATTTTCTTAAGCCTTTTCTTCCTTTATTATTACGCAAACACAGTTTTTCTTAATGTGATTTGCCGCTTTATTCTCACGCGCATTCCAATAATCTTGTATAGGTGTGTATTCTAGACTGTACAGATCAGTCTTCGGGTGGGGGCATTATTATTTTAGCCTTAAATTCTAGTAGTGGTTCAAGTGGTCTAGTAGGATAATGTTTTGTTGTTTGAAACGAAGTGTACTCGGTTCAAGCCTCAATGGGAACATCATCACTCAATGGAGATTGCAGGTACATTCGTCTGACAAGTCCCAAATATACTGACTGAATTTGCACTGTAGATTCCACTGCTAGTCACTACCATCCACCGAATTGTCAGACAATTAAGCAAGTGATAAACAAATAACCTGAGGCCGAATAGCTGATTGGTAACGAGTCTAACTACGGCACTGGGTTCGAATGCCAGAAAGGATATGAATTCCTCCAAGATATCAGATACACCTATTGCTTCAGGGGTTCAGTGTTATTGTGCTTGCCAACCACGCCTCATTTAGTGCGGGTTTCAAACCCCTGCCGACGTCTGGCGGGCGGTAGTAAGACCAGGAAAGAAGGTAGGGGAAGTTGAATTTGAGGCTAGCAACCCAACCCCGTAAAAAGGAAAAGAATAACACCATTTGTACTGAAACCTCGAAAGTTCGAAACTTGAAGCCCTATGTTCGACCGGGAATGGAGAGGAATAAAATTGAAAATTAAATTGTTATATTTTTATAATTAGAAGTTGACTGCCTGGATTACGCTGAGTTACAGGGTAATTTAAAAATCAAATATTTAAAAGTGTATTATGTATACATATATATTATCAGGTGATGTTTTGTGGTCATTCATAAATCAATATCAGGTAGAGAACCACTAATAATCCAGAGTTACACTGAACAGTTGTTTCGTCCTAGCTGAGATGCTTTCAGCACTACATAGCTATTATTCACTAAAGTATTGAACTAATTTGAAATCGGTGCCACAAGAACTGCCAATTAATGTCAAAAAGATTGCATGCAGAGAGGAGAAACTGTTGTCTAGCGCTCTCCAGTTTTCAATGATCACGAATTGACTTCATTTAAAAGAACCATCGATCTCTGATGGAATCACCAGTGCGTACTGCTGCAGAGTGCCAAGATCAAGGAGGAAAACAGCTGTCCCAGTACTCTCTGGATTTCAGTGATTCTCTAACTAAAGTTAATTCGTGATCACAATTGAAATCAGTCGAATCCCTGTAAACCACTTCTTGAAAATTTTATGTCTGTTGTATAATTTCATGGGGATAGAAAAGTATTTGTATGAATCAAGGGAAATGTAACCACTTTAGCAGTAGACGACAATTTCTTGAAGAAAAATAGATGATTGGTGCCTGAATACTTTTGTTTCTTTGAAGTGGATCCTTGGTTGTACATAGATCACTTTGATCATAACTCACTCATTCACCTACTATGAGACATTTTGCCTTTGTTTTTCAAACCGCGCTTCATTACTCCATTGCAGTTGAACGCAACTGTGTGTAGTATAACACGAGTTTTCATTACAGTGTATGTTTGTCTTATTATCTGTCCCCTGAAAAGTTCGTACTGGATAGCTGAGTTACAATACTTGATCAGAGTATGTCATAGATTAGAATTACTCGCTGCACACTTATTATTTCACCTGTCAATAAACGAATTGGTACAAATAATGTATAATAAGGTATACATGTTATTTTTTTTGCTGTCTTATTGTTATGGTCGACTTTTTTTTCTTCTCACTCTGCAATCCTTAGTTTTGCTGCGATAATGACTATACTTGCATTTTTTCTGACTATCGTTTGTTGATTAGTTTCACTGAAATTCGTGCTGAGTTTAATTATCAACATAGACATTGTAACTACTAGGCTGTCTGTCTAGGTTGATAAGTGGCAGAACCGGAACGTCCTGGGCTCAAACCCCTGTGGTGGGTGCGACTGATGAAGAATCCCGAACCAGGACGAGATAGCTGGCCAGTACTCCACTGCTGGTTTTCCAATGGTTCTGTAACCAATGTCAGCTCATGGTGAAATCCTGACAGAAAATTCGTAATCAAATATAAGTTAAAGAACTACAACAGTGCTGTTACATGCATAATAACTTAATTTTCTTTGGTTACAGGATTTCATCATGAGCTGACATTGGTGACAGAAATATTTGAAAAGCTGCAGTGGAGTACTGTCCAGCTGTTCCCTCCCACTCCGTGACTCTTCAGTAGCACGCACCCGCCGGGGTTCGATCCTTGAACCTTCTGGTTACGAGGCGGCCTTGTAGACCAATAAGCCAATGGGACTCAATCCAATGGCCCATGAACTCCAACTTCCGCCAAATCACGATATAGCATGACCACTAGCCAATGTCTCCAGTGAGTATTTGTCCTCATGCCCCACCTGCTGTACCCTACTGTTTACGATTTCCCACTAGAACCCCAGATAACTACTTACCTGTATAGTGAGCTAGTAAGCATCTGATTGATATTCAAGCATTGGTTTGTTGGGATTTGATTGATTGGTTACAGCATTTCATTTTCTTTTTTTAAATATTCTCTCTTTTCTTTTTAAGAATCCTGCTTATAATAATAAAAACCATCCAGAGGTGATTAAAACAATTCCATTGGAGACAGAATCATTATCAGTAAAAGATTTGAGCAGTCTACAACAGCAACAACACAAAGCACAATTACAACCACAGAATCAAGGTCAAAAGGTTAAGACACTTGAATCACCAAAAAAGCTGTTCACAACAAATAAAAATTACTTCACAAAATCATCACAAATTGGAAAAGGCTCACATAATAATATTCAGTTACAACAACAACAACAACAACAGCAGCAGCAGCAAGAAAAAGAGAAACCTCAGACTACTGATGACAACGACGAAACGGATAAATTGTTTGAAGATATTAAATTTGATATAATTTCAGAGTCAAATGTAAGTCATTGTTGTTTGTCGTCATCATCATATTTATTATTACTATTATTTTCTCTGCTTCGTTATTTCTCCTGAATATAGTAGCTGTCTTATTTGCGTTTATTGTCGAAATATTTTGAAATTTTCGCGTTGATTTATTTTACTGGATTGAAATGCCCAGTGGACTTCTAGTATTGACACTTTGACAATGACGCTTTCAGGTTGTATATTATTATTATTACTATTATTTCCTTAGTTCCCGAGTGGAACTTAGAGCTTCAACAGCACATCTCCACTTTCTCCTATTCTCTGCAATCCTCCTTAGCTGATTCCACAGTTGTTCATAAGCTCTTATCTACTCCTTCACGTCAACGTCAGAGCTACACCCAAGTCGTCGTTAGCCATTCAGGTTCCAGTCGGCGGCTTAACTGACGTGAGATGTCACTCAACGGTCTCCTCATTATTTGTTCAATCCATTTCCATTTCTCTAGGTATTTTTGCTGCACAATCGGTTCTTGATTGGTTTGTTACCTGCGAGCATTCCTCACCGCTGCTAATCCTTTATGACCTGTCATCTGATCTAGAGTATGGAGCGGAAACAGCTGTTAGTAAAAGTTTTATAGCCTACTGGGAATGCTGTTCGTAATGTGTAACTAGTCTCTGACCTAAACAGAAGAGCTGACTTAACATTGGTGTTAAAAGTCCGAATGCTGAGTTAGTGCAGCAGATTTCCACAGTGATTTCAGACTAATGAAAGTCGATCTTGTCTTCTTGATCCTGCCTTTGACCTCCTTGTCAGGGCCTCTTGTAGTTCCTCACTTAAGTGAGAGAAGTGAACCCTGTTCAAATTTCTTCCGTTGATAATGACCCGTACTTGTTGTTGTTGTTGATTAGGTATTTCCATCACCTCTATCTTCTCTATGTTCTCTTGAAAAATACTCCCTCCATTTCTTCTTCTGTCAGCTTGTTAGTTTTTGCCTGTAGATCGTTGACTTTGTGTGACATTAAGCATAAATTATCCATGAAGTCGAAATCTTCTAGAGACTTCTTTTCGATCCAACAACCTCTCGTCTTCTCGCTCTCCATGGCCTACCTCGGATCCACTACACCACAATCAAGCTGACTTGAAGTTATTTCTCGTTGATGATAATCACCCGTGTGAGGTAGAGTGCAAGACACGCACTTCCTCTCAGCCCTGGTAACATTTTCACTTACAGCTGTGCAGGCACATTCTGCTGTGAAGAGAGTCGAGGAGTGAACGAAACCTGCATCCTGGTTTACTTCTGCCAGCTGGTGTCATCAGACAGATATCATGTGTGAATGTTTGTCAAATTCGCTTCAGCGTGTACACATCGGATTATTTCTTACACTGTCATAGACAATAATTATGAGAATAAATTTGGTCAAAATTAACAATGTCTATCAAGTAGTAGTCAACTTCTTTTGCATATAATGACGCAGTATTACATACACTTTTCTGGGTTTTTGTTTTTCTAATTCCTGTTATTTTTAGAAAGCACCTGTCAGATAACCTTGCGATCATATATATATGTATATATATATATATATATATATATATACTTATCAAGTCAAATTTTAGTAATAAAGCATTATCATGTTACAATAATAATCATAATGATAATGATCTGCCTCAATCCAAAAACAGTACTTATATAATACAGCATGGAATTCTCAGCATTTGTCACAATATTACATCCAATTTACTCAAAATATAAATAAAATTAAGCACAGAAATTTGTCCACACTTACAGTAGGAATAAAGTCAAAAATGTGCAAAGTACAAAATGAGAATAATAACTATAACAATAACAATGGGTTTGTTTCAAACAGTATTGCCGATGCAGTTTGGAAATTTTAGCATGTTATAGAGTATTGAATCCGATGTTCTCTTGAGATAGCATGGTGAAGGGAAAACCAAAAATAACAATTAATACAGAACTTAAATGATGTTTACACTTGTGAGAAAATAAACAAAACAGGGTGAGAGGGTTATAAATATAAGAAGAATAATAACAGTCAAGCTTGGTGGAATAAGGATGGAGAAAATTGTTTATTTACTAGTGCAAAGATGTTTAGCTAGTTCGTCTCTGACACTATTTTCATCACATAAAATACATACCAAAAATGGAATCTTGAATTTTTATACTTAGACGTACGAGCATAAATTCTTTTGAAATGACTTCTTGTTTTACCTGAGGAAACACAAGGTAAAAGCTGCAGGTGCTGTGGTGGATGCTCACAGTCTGACAAAATCCCATTACCAAATTTGTTGCATGAAACCAAGAGCCTATGAATGACGATGTCAACGTTATGGCCCAACGGGATACCAGTAGACCGACTGACAGTCTTCAGAGTCCTACAAAATATGATGTCGTCTTTTTTAAGCAACCCAGGAAAGAATAAGGGTAAACAATACAGAAGAATAGGTAAGATGCAAGAGTGGACGAACTGTAAGAGGAAGGGTTGAGTTATTCCTGAGTACCTTAACTTCTTAATGTAAAAAGTCAAACGGAATGTTTTTTTAGAAATCGCTAAGACATGGGAAGACCGAGATAGATCAGAAGAAAGAATTAGTCCAAGATATTTAACGTCAGACTTGATTTCTATATCATTATCGTCAGTTCTATAATAATCACAGGAATTAACGGCTTCATTTAACTTTCTTTTACATCGGAAACTGAAGTTAACATTTTGATATATGGAAGGATGTAGTTTAAGCCCATTAGCCAAAGACCATTTGGTGACTCCTGATAGAAAGCTGTTCATCTTAGTACAGTCTAGCTGGGAGTTAACTGGCATTGAAACAGTTGGATCCTCAGCATACTTAATAAAGTTCATTTCATCATAGTGTTATATATGCATAACACGAATGTTCAGGTTTACTTTTACAGTACTTTATTATTATTATTATTTTCTGTCGTGTTCCGTTGGCTTGCCTCCGTATCCTTTTATTGATATTGGTTTCTAATTTGTTTTTGTTTACTTAGCCAACTGTTTATTCTCTGTAGTCAGTGGCAGCATAGCAACATAAATACAAACATAACTCATATTGTTAGATTTTCGTTACTAGCCAATATCAGTTAGAGAGAACTGCAACCCAAGTGACCGAATGGTCAACGATCTTTGGTATCGTTACTTTAAAGGTTGGAGGTTCGACCCCTTGGTGGTGGAGTCGTGGATCTGCAGTGTTGAGGATTCCTTCCCCCCACCTCAAAAAAATAAAGTCGAAACAGCTGTCCAGTGCTCCCTGATGGTTTTCAATGATCGCTCCCCGTAACTGATGTGTCTTTGGTTCGTGATGAAAATCTAACCGTTGAAATTAATCCAAACCCGCACAAATCATCCCATAATCTAAATAAATCATACTATTTTTAGTACTCACAGGTTGACGATGACATGTTCTCAAGGCTAATACATCTTAGATAATGTTACGATGCTGTTGGTTTTCCTCAGTTTCTCCCCAACTTGAATTGGCTAGATTTAATTTTATATCTTTCATACATACAGTACCAACTGTTTGTATCGATCGTTCGTAAACAGTAATATCACATAGGAGAAAGCAATACGATAAGAGTTAACTGATAACCTGCTATATATCTATATGTATGTAACTTGTAATTAACTTAAGGTTAGTGAGATTTATAAGTGAATTAGTTTAAGGTTTGTTTAAGTCGGCCTTTATTTTGTCTTTAATCCTTGTGTGTTCACAGTTTACGTGTGTGTATGTGTATGTGTGTGTGTGTGTATTAGTACAGTAATAGACAACAACTGACTAATCTTATTGTAAATTCTATTCTTTTATTATCACTTAGGGTAAACAAACACGAGAAAATGAGACAAGCGAGAGAGAGAGAGAGAGAACGAGAGTACATGTCAGTTTAAGGCCAATACAAACGAATACTTATAGGGAATAATTCACACTAGCGAATTAAATTATGCAGTGTGTTTACGTGTAAGAAAAACACAATCATGCAAAGAACTAGCTACTGTCAATGCTTTCTTCCATCTTTTCATAGTTAATATTATGTACTACTAACATGGACTTGAAATAATAGAGAAGATTTGTAGCTCAGGTGGATGATTTGCAATTAATAGTGTTCTCTGAGCTGGTTGGTTTAGTTGCGAAGCTTTCGTCGTCCTTCTGGACAACATCTTCAGCGCCATATTTAGCACTAACATGGACTGCTCTAATAGTAGACTGAATTCTATCAGTCAAGTGTGCATTGTGATCAGGTGACTCACCATCACTATGCTCTGCAGTGTAAGTCGTTGATATTAGATAGCTGGAGGCAGTCGGTAGGATTTCTTGCTTGTATTATTATTATTATTATTCACTGTTTCACTAAACCAGATAACATAAATTTGTAGGATCATATTCGACTTAATGAACTTCCAAGTATTTTTAATGTGCACTTTTGTTCCCTCAGCTGGTGAGTGGCTTTCATTGTCTATATAGTCAACAACATTTTCAGTTCAATTATATAAAATACCCAACTCAGAGAGAAGAAAACCACATGAAAGTCATTCCCCCTGAGTTAAAAATCTTCACTATTATTTTGAAGTATCAAATATTATTCAGATTCAGTAAGTGTGGCGTTAATTCTTATAAAAGATTGTGCATTATGAAATGGTGATTATTATCGAGGTTAAAAACATTGCTTCAGCTAGCAATTAGTATACACTCATCTAAGTAATGCGAATTGACTGTATACCTGAGTAGGTTTGACTGTTTTCTAAGCCAACATCATCCAGAATTGTTTGTTACTGTCGAACTGTAGATTGTAATCATAATGATACTTTAACGAGAATTATTGTTTATCTTTCCTTTTATTATTATTATTATTATTATTATTATTATTATTATTATAATGCTATTAAGAGACATTTTGCTCTGCTTGGCAGAATAATTATTCTCATTTACTAAACAAAATAAGGAGATTAGTTGATTCCCTGATACTTTTGTTTTTAGCGTGGTGGTTTCCAGTGCACCGAAGTACTCA